TTAAATATAACTGGAGTCAAATCTTTTCCTATTTTGCCAGTTTCACTTTTTTAGCATTAGTTGTAATGCTAATTGTATGTCATATCTCATTTTCTTGCAGTAAAAAAAATATTTGGAAATGTAATCTGTCAAAAATATTTTTATTTTTATAAGATTGAAATTTTTTAATAGTTGAATACCCTCAATTGTTCAGATGGTTGTTTTTCTCTTCCTTCTTCTCCATTCTTGCTTTTTCCCCCCACCTGTAGCAGTAGGCAAAAGGCAAGAGGGATGACAAAAGTGCACTTTTATATTTTTTGTTTCTTAAAAAAATAAAGATACAGAAAATTTCCTTTTATATAAGGAAAGTACCCTTTCAGAGAAGTCTTTTATCTAGGTCCCATATCATCTATATTCTTCACATCTCAGTGGAGCTATAACATATTCAAAATAGAACACTAAGGAAGCTAGTCATGCAATTTAATTAGTTGAGGTTTAGCTGGAATAAGATCCCCAGTGAAGCTGCCTCCTATAAACCCGGAGTGAAACTGCTTGTTGAGTTAGTGATACCAAAAGCCTTCCTTTTAGACTGCAAGATGAAGTTAAGCTCTTGGTTTTAATCCTGGTTTTAATCCTTTTTGACAAAAGGGTGGGGTACAGAACAATAGCAATGAAGTAGAAATCCTGAGCCACTGGTCTCACCTGCCTAAGATGGATCACACCAGCCTGCAAACAGTTTATTCTTCATTTGCTTTTGCAACTAGTTCTCCCAGTTCCTGCTGCTGTATTGTTCACATTAATATAGGAATATATCACAAGTTGTGTGCCTGTAGTTATACCAAAAGAATAGCACATTTGACCTACAGTTCAAAGCAACCTGCCTGTCTTATTAGCTGAGACAGACCAGTTTCAGCATAATGGTCTTGGCAATGATAACTACAGGGCTTTACCTTTAATTAGCAGAGAAGGGAGACAGCAATACACTTTCATGAAACCATCTTCCGAAACACAGCAAATTTTGCCCTAAAATAACAAGTTTAATCTGGAACCATTTAAAATCCCTTATTTATGTGAAATGAGGGCTAAAATTGCATAAAACCTCTCTTATATCTTTATCGGTTTCACCACTGCTGGAAATGTGCCCATAGTGTCACATTTCACATTCTTCCAGGCGATACAAGGAAGTGTGAGTATTTGTAAAATATTCTAATGAAACCCTTCTAATCTTGTGAGCATTTATACTTCCAGGTATATAACATCAACCTGTAGTTTTTTTCAGTCATATTTAAGTCCTCTACAGATTTGAGTTTCATCCAGTAAGTTTTGGTCTCCTGGCAAAACAGATACTGCTAGCCATAGGAAACAGTGAGAAGAAATCTGATCCATATCTTCCATTTTACTTTCTGCAGGTATTTTGTTGCCTAGTGAAGCTCTTTTTTTTTTTACAGATCAAATATTTATCTACATAGTGTGGGAGACTGTCAGAAAATACCAGAAGTTAAGTCACCCCTGTGGAAACACTGGCCTGGAGAAACAGTCTTATTCCAATGGATGAAGGTAATTTTTAAGACATACTGTTTATTTAGTTAAAAAAATTAAAAACTGTTCATGCATGCTTGTCCTGGATTCAGCTATCTTATGGCACGCACTTGTGTGGAAGGGCTGAGCCAGGCCTCTGTTGTGTTAATAAGGTGAGTGAAAAGTGTGAAGAACCCACTTATATGAAAGACATACTAAAAGAGCTGTTGTTTATGTGGTAAAAAAGATTAACAAGTGAATGAGAATAGTTTTAAATGCAGATAATTATTTTTTAAAAGCCACCTTGCTTATCTATCTATGAAAATGCATGTTTGAATGCTAGTAGTTGAAAAGCTGTGTACACACCTTCATAAACATTTAGAGAAGTGTGATGTTAAGGTCTTCTGCTTAAAGACATAAATATTTTGTGAATTTTTAGAAAAACAGAATTGAGTTTCCACAGCTCAGCAAAGTCATTGAGTATTATTATTTCAGCCACAGTAAGTGGTCATATGTGCTCATGTTTATGCACCGTGTCTTTTAGGGATGTCATTTCAGGAAGTACAATGTTAGGAAATGAACAAGAAAGGTTGTACCAGGAAATTCTGAAAGTAGCTTCTGGTAAAAGACTTGAAAGTGAATCTAATAATGTACATTCTTTCTCAGAAGAATGAGTTCAGAAGTCTTCAAAAATCTTCAATTGTATCATAGACCAAGACTCAATGAAACTAAATTTAAGGGGAGGAACTTTCATTTGGACTTTAATTAAAAAACATGCTAACTAAAAGGACATTTAACAAGATATTAGATAAATGGTAAAAAATGGGTAAAGTAGGGCCTACTTTCTTTTCTATGACATACATTATTTAGGAATATTTTTTTTTAAACTTAGACTTTTGCTCAACTTCTCCTGTTGATGCTGCTTATTTCTTCCACGAAATCTTAAGATCTTTTGCTGAAAAAAAATCATTTGCAAGACAAATAATTTTAACAGAGAATTCTGCCTCAAAGAAGAGAACATAATGTCAAAGCAAAAGGATATAAATTGTATATTGCCAAATTCTGTGGGTTCTTTTCCTACTAGATTTTCCATATATCCTAACTGTAAGATCTTTAAATTATCATTAAACTGCACTGACTTTTATTATGTAGAACTCCTATTACAAGATACTCTTGTGTGTGTTCAAACTTCATTTTTCTCTATTACACACCCTGAGGTGGCATATCTGGGGGCTAGTGTATAACTAAGGTTGGGCCTCAAAAATTAACATGGAATCTACAGTCCTTTTTAGTTCAAGACTTTAATTGACTATGGATTTAGGGGTTTAGATAAATGGAAGCAGAAGGCCAGAGTATGTGAGTGATTTTCAAGGGTGTGTAATTAAATAATAAATGAGCAGCCTATAATAAAACCAGGGTGGTTTGCCTTGCCTACCTTAGGTAGCAGGCTGCTGAAAAGCTGTGTGTTTGAAAGATGAGGAAGTTTTGTGCCACACAACTCGAAGATCCTGTCCATCAATCAGAAGTCTCCTTTTACCAATGTTAATGAACATAGTTGAAGCCTTCCCACACAAAGTAATATTTTTCTCAGATGTCAAATATATTTCTTAAGCATTACATTTAAAGTTTAAATTCCTTACTAAAGGCTAAAATTAAAGGAAAATTGCCATGGCTGATTTAAAGATTAATGGCACTCCATTACTGGGGCACTGTGATCACAGAATCACAGAATCCCAAGGGTTGGAAGGGACCTCAAAAGATCATCTAGTTCAATCCTCCTGCAAGAGCAGGGTAACCTAGAGTACATCACACAGGAACTTGTCCAGGTGGGCCTTGAATACCTCCAACGTAGGAGACTCCACAACCCCCCTGGGCAACCTGTTCCAGTGCTCTGTCACTCTCACAGTAAAGAAATTTTTCCTGATGTTCACATGGAACCTCCTATGCTCCAGTTTACACCCATTGCCCCTTGCCCTATCACTGGACATCACTGAAAAAAAACCTAGCTCCATCATCCTGACACCCACCCTTTACATATTTGTAAACATTGATGAGGTCACCCCTCAGTCTCCTCTTCTCCAAGCTAGAGTCCCAGCTCCCTCAGCCTCTCCTCATAAGGGAGATGTTCCACTCCCTTAATCATCTTTGTGGCTCTGTGCTCGCCTCTTTCAAGCAGTTCCCTGTCCTTCTTGAACTGTGGGGCCCAGAACTGGACACAATATTCCAGATGCGGCCTCACCAAGGCAGAGTAGAGGAGGAGGACAACCTCTCTTGACCTACTACCCACACCCTTTCTAATGCACCCTAGGATGCCATTGGCCTTCTTGGCCACAAGGGCACATTGCTGGCTCATGGTCATCCTCCTAACCACCAGGACCCCCAGGTCCCTTTCCCCTTCACTACTGTCCAGCAGGTCAGCCCCCAACCTGTACTGGTACATGGGGTTGTTCTTCCCCAGAAGCAAGACTTTGCACTTGCCCTTGTTGAATTTCATCAAGTTCCTCTCCGCCCAACTCTCCAGCCTGTCCAGGTCTCGCTGAATGGCAACACAGCCCTCTGGTGTGTCAGCCACTCCTCCCAGTTTAGTATCATCAGCAAACTTGCTGAGGGTACACTCAGTTCCCTCATCCAGGTCGTTGATGAAAATATTAAACAGCACTGAAAATATTAAACAGCACTGATCTATTTATATTCCCAGGAAACTGATTAATGAATGAGCAAAGACTGGGAATACTATGGAATGTTAAGTCTAATCAATACAACAGAATAGCTGTGTCTACAAATAAGCGTACAAACACACATCGCTTTCCAAGGGGCACTAAATCTCGATTCTTGTCTTCGCTCCAGTATTTTTGTGGCTCATAGTATGAAATATGTGCCTTTAATTTTCAAAAGGGAAATTGCAATAACATTGACAGAACACAGCAAGTGAAAGCTCTGCTGTCTGTGATAACAAGCTGTAATATAAACTGTTGATATAGAAGTTTTGTTCCAAATCATCAATTTATTAGTTGGTATCTTCTGTGTAAGTTCCTCTTCATGCCAATGTACTATATTAGGGTAATTAAGGATTTTTAATGTTAAAAGAAGTCAACTGACTGCCTAACCTTCTCTCACACCAGAAGTTAAGAATAACAAGTTAAACCAACTCTGTTAGGCAATGCCATTAGTCAAGGCTGCTGCTTAACGCAGTATAAACTGACAATGTTAGAGAAAAAAATGTGGTTTGACCAGAATGAATAAGAAGAAATGGTCTGTGTAATGCATTTTCTTCTGGAAAAAGTGTGAGTTTAGCTTGTGACATCATAAACAAACCTCTACCTGTAAAATACTCTTAGAGTTCTTTGTGAAGTTACTTTCAGGGGATGAGATGGATTTATAAAAGGTACCCTTCTCAGAAGATGAATCTTCCTATTAACAATACAAAGGCTGAATTCACGTAACAGCAATCAATGCTAAAAATGTCATGGAACAATATCAATGTGATTTGCTGCTCAGTGAGAATGAAGGACCAGACTACTAATACCACCCAGCCTTTAGGTAAATGGAAGAGGCAGATACTATTCTATCCACAAACAAAAAAAAAAAAGAGGAGACGCCAAAGGGCCCGATTTCCAGCCATTCAGCTATTCTGAATATTGCAACTACATTCTGTTACTTGGCTGCTTGTATGAGTGATCAGTAGAATCAATCAAAATGATAAATTTTTCCTTTTTTTGTAAGCAACAATGAAAAATAATATGGTCTTGATTATCAGCGCCCATTTTTTCAGGGTATTGGGAGAACACGGATTCTTTATCCACAAGTTTCATTCTTCTTTTTCCACATAATAAAGGGGGAAACACTGTACAATGCCCAAGTCAAAGAAACAATCTTTTTCTCTTTCACTATAGGTCTTCTATTGAACCATACTTTAAAGACACTCCCACCAAACCCTGAAAGTCTTCTCCCTCACTGCCCTTCCTTGTCTTGCATCAGAGCACAAACAGGTTCTATTCAGCCCATTGATGCTTTTATAAGAAAGCCTAGTATATGCACTTGCATTATGGATAATATCGAATAGCAGAGTGTGTATTGGTAAGACAGTACTGTAACAAGGAGCAATAAAATCCCTTAGGCAGCCCCTCTTTAAAAAAGTTGTTATAAGCTGTTTACATATTATATATATTCTTCTGCCATTGCAAACAACCTTTTTTTTTGTGAGATACTGCTACCTCGCTAAAAATGAATGGGAAAAATTAGAGGCATTTCTCACAATACAGGGGTGTGGCCCAGAACAAGCACCAAGTTAATTTGCACCAACTGCTCCTGCTCAATTTTTTGAATTCTCTGATTTCAACAGATTCCTTCCTGGTAAGGTCTGAGAAATTGCTGTTAATGCTAAAAGACACTATTTTGCCGTTTTAATGACAGTTGCAGTGTTCTATGTCTTGGCGTACCTGGGACATACAGTAAGACATACAATGACTGTTAAATACTATTAACAAGAAACACACAAAGATGTTCTTGCTTTTCCATCTTCTTTTTCTGTCGTAGGCTTGAAATTTCTGTTTTTTACTATAAAGAAATTAATTTGAAGGGGATTTATCATACTCACATAGTGAGATGCATGAATATATAACTATGTGCATTATTGACTCCATTTGCAGAATAAAGGAAAGATACCATAAAAAAAATGGGTGATTTCTCCATCTCTTTGCAGCATCATTTTTTTGATGTCTGGAGCACCTCCTGGTAGAATAAGCTGTGCCTTGTATTCCAGCAGTTTCCAGCCATGTCACACATTTGCAAAACTTGCAATTTGAATTAATTACATATCTGATGATTTACAGAAACTCTCAGAGTCTCATTATCAGAGCTAGTCTGGATTGGTTCTGACTGTAACTAGAAGCCAAGGAAAGCTCATTCTGATTTTAAGAGCACAGGACTCTTTTAGCTGTTTTCCTGTATCTTGCATGACACTTAGCATGCAACACTGGTATTGCTGCTAACATTCAAGTACTAAGATTTGTTAGAATTTTCTGTGCAGCGAATCTCCAGTGGAGCAACCCCATACATCCTTGAGATGACTCTTAATCCCTAATATCCTAAGAATTTCTATATTGGGTCTTTGGTGGTTTTGGGGTTGTTTTTTTTTTTTTTTCATCTGAAAGGCATTAATCTAATTAATGCTATAGCTGGCAATACTCTATGTAAAATTTCCTACACTGTGGACTGAATACCAAGGTGTTATATTGGAATTGGCCCAAAGATATAAAAGCTGTATGTGAGGTTACCACACTGATTTATTTTTTTTTAGCCATATGTAGAACATGAACATGGCCTGTTAGAATAAAATGACTGATTTTAATTTATCTCTATGAAGATTTTCCTTAAATAGTCTACTTTAAATACTAGACAGTGTGATACTCTTTTACTATAACATATGATAAGTAGGACTGCCTGAGGATCTTTCCTAAATTGTCTTAGATGCATTGCTATCTGTACTGCACATAATAACTGATTATATTTCTTTTTGTTTTGTTTTACACTTTAACCAAAAGCTCCACTACCCACTAGAATAAGAGCTACATTTTCATAATATGTGATTTGGTGGCTTTTTTTTTCCTGTTCCTGGCATGGTTTGGTTTGTTGTTTTGTTTTTTTTTTCTCACTGTTACTTAGAACAATATTCCTATTCTGAAGAAAGTATTCCTCTGTCACTACAACCCTGGTTCTGGAAGAGGAAAAATTCTGTTTCTCCTGCTGCTAAATGCCAAAGCAGAACAGGTAATGTTAGCCTTTTCTTTTTGCAAACATTGGCACACAACAAATAGTTAGGAAACTATTAAAGGGTATATGGCAGCACTATAATGGAGTTGTGGGGTTTTATTAATTATCCACAAACTTCTTAAGCAATAAGATACAACACATTGAAGCACAGCCTTTGAGAAAAAGGTGTCAAGCTGTCTCACTTGGCTGATGATCTGAATCACTCCTTTCAGCAACTGAACTATAGTACCTGTTTGCTTTAATTATAGTTATAATACGTGGAGATGAAATCGGAAACTTTTGATAGGCCACAAAAATGGGACAGCTGATTTCATGTTTCTTTTCCCTTACACTGGATGTAATATGGTTGACACAAAGGCACATATGACTTTTTGGAACATTATTGATACTAGTCAGTATCAGTAATAAAAATTAAAAATAAAAATAAAAATCTATTCTGTTCTACATTAGGTACAGGGGTCCAAGTAAATTCTCAATCTTTCTCCTTATATTTTAATGTGTGTGTGAGAAGGAAAGAGAAAAGAGTGTTCGGAAAAGTTGACTCCAGCACATCATACCAATAGGTAGTTTCAGGCATGACCATAGAATTACACTGACTGTCGCACTGGTATTGTGATAAACCAAGTGCCTTTGAGATCGTAAGACTAAGGGGGTAACATCTGCCCAAACAGGGCTTAATACTACAATAGTCCCTGGCCCAATTATTTTTATGTGCCAGCTAAATCTGAATGTATTATGGTCAGATAATTGTATGTAGGCAATTACTGTGTCACTTGAGCAGAAAATTATGGCACTGTATGAAATACTATCTGTTTCAGTGACTAAATGCTTGACTTGCTGCAATTAGTCAACCTAGGTGGGTCCCTAGGTAGTTTTGGGACAGAACATGAGTATACTTGCCACCTGTGTGAACATCAGTAATAACATTGCAGTAGCCTTAAAACCATAAATAACACACCTGTTAAACACATGGCTCCACCCTCCCCCCAAGGTCAGTTTGAGACCTACAACTGCAGCTGTAGAAAAGTGGCTGACCTGAAAAGGTTCAGACTAGCTTAAAGAGGAAGGTGTCATACCTCTGTTAATAAGTCATTTAAAAAAGAACAGAGATATTTTCATGGGGTTTTTCCATTTTGTAACTCCATGAGACTAAACTTAATTTTATACTAATAAAGACATGATCCTTGTATCACTTTTTCTCTTCCAAAGAGGAGAAAAGGGAGATACAAGAGGGTTTTTTAGATCTTGAACTGGTACTGCATTTACTAGAGGTAACTGATTCAAAATACAGTCCTCTTTGCTGGGTAGTTAGCAAATTTAAGAACTCAAGAAATAATTGCTCATAAACTTTGCAAGATTCAACATGGTCAGCTGCATAAAAATCTCAGAGGTAAGGTACCAAAAGACAACTGCATTAGTTCAGGTCCTACCAGAGTTGTTGGGAATTGAAGTTATTCAGGATATTGAATTCTAATCTTTTAATTCTTTAGGAAATTTGAGTAAAACCTCCTAGTCATCCAATATCAGGGACAAAAGACATTTTGCTATTTTTTTATTTGCAGGACTTTTCTTCTTGTAGTTTAGATACAACCATGGTAGGTTGTTGAAACAGTGATTCTTGTTATTCTGATTACTTCTGATATCTGATCCAGAATAAAATCAGGAAAAAATTACAACTGACTATTCTGATAAAATTTTCACAAGGAAATGTACAATGACAGTGTCAGTTTATCAAAATCAGAATCTTGCTTGGGGATACTGGAGTGTACACAAAAACACTGGAGTGTACACAAAAAAACAAAACAGAGTTCAAAGTGAACCTAGAACAGAAATCATCATAACAAAAAAATGTTCATTATTCAAAAAAGTTAAGGCAGGCACTTATGTTATCATTGTACTGGAGATTAGGAAATTGAGTATCAGATTATGCTTCAGTAGATTAGCACACATGAAGGAAAGCTCAGACCCATTACACCTCTTTTTTTTCATTACTTTGCATGCTGAAGCTTTCCATGCTGTGCTGCTTATCCATCAGCCAGCTTCCTTACAGAGCTGCAGCCTAAGTCCATTTATGAAATTTTCTGAAACTAGTTGCAATAGTGCAGGTATTACAGGTTTGTGTCAGGTTCTCATGACTGCTGCTCACATGTTTGTATTATGGGGCAGCCACACCCCACAATGTTTGGCTTGCCTGTGCTTTTTGTACTACTTGTGAGAATTAAAAATATCAACACTGTAACTACATGAGGACTACCTGTGTGTATGTTGCCTTAAATTACAGCTGCTCTTACCTCAAGGAAACCACATATTACATAATAATATTTCTTGACTGCAAAGAAAGGAAGTGCCAGAACAATTGCTTTTTTCTTTGAGATCCTCTGGAACACTCTTCTTATATAACAACACACAACATGGCACATCTGCTTCATCTTTTATCTCATCTGTTTTGAGGGGGGATTAGTTACAAGGAAAAAGGAAATCAAGAGTGTAGTGCAGTAATGGGTTTTATGTTTTACTGTATTTTTATCACTTTAAAATCCAGGTTTTAATATGCAAATGCTTTTGATGCGTGACAAAAATGTGTCCTTACAATGCAATATAATAATAATAATAATAATAAAAAAATAATGATAATATAGAAACATGTTTTTCCATGCTGGCATGCTTTGGTATCTTTTTTTTTTTTTTTTTAAGTGATAAATGTTCTCTGGTACCGGGAAAAAAAAAAAGAGATAAAAACTATGAGTTACATCCCCTGAAATAAGTAGTCTTCTTCTATCTTATTTGCCTGTTTTAAGCAGTATCGGGCCACTTCTATAAAAAGAAAATGACTTCCTGTCATAAAGCAATATATGCTGATGCAAGGCATAAAAAAGAAATCAGTATAGCAAAAGAGTAGCTAAATGGAAACATGGAGTTGGCATGAAGCAGCACAGCAGGATCAGCTCTTTTCAGCTACAACCACATCTGAAGTGCACAGTTAATTCTTAAGCATAAAATAGCAACAGGGTGTTGCCTAACTGTAAACCGAGCATGCTATAAATCAAGAGACTGCTCCTATTTTGAATTTTTTAATTAAAAAAACAACAACCAAAACCAACAACACAACCCTCTGTGCTTCCCATGCTTCAGTTTTAATCTCAGATTTAATCTCAACCAAGCAGATTTCTCAGCACAGCCTACTACCTAGGTCCTCTAATCATCCCAGTGGAAATGTAGCCAGACAGCTGTTCACTGTTCATTCTGTGACAGCTGGTTATGCATTGATGATCTGCATTGAGGATGATTGACTGTTTTCCATGCAGACTGCATAAGGTTCATGTTCAGACATCACTATGAGGGTTATGAATGTGAGAACATTTTGTTTCCCATCAAATGTTTACCAGTTGTACATACCATATGGCAACAACAAGCTAACACAAGCTAACGCTTGAAAGAATCATAGAATCATAAAATCATACAATAGTTAGGGTTGGAAAGGACCTTAAGATCATTAGGTTCCAACCCCCCCTGCCATGGGCAAGGACACCTCACACTAAACCATGTCACCCAAGGCTCTGTCCAACCTCTGAAAACCCCCAGGGATGGAGCATTCACAGCTTCCTTGAGCAACTCATTCCAGTGCATCACCACCCTCACAGTAAAGAACTTCTTCTTTATATCCAATCTAAACTTCCCCTGTTTAAGTTTTAACCCGTTACCCCTTGTCCTATCACTACAGTCCATAATGAAGAGTCCCTCCCCATCATCCCTATAGCCCCCCTTCAGATACTGGATGGCTGCTATGAGGTCTCCACGCAGCCTTCTCTTCTCCAGGCTAAACAGCCCCAACTTTCGCAGCCTGTCTTCACACGGGAGGTGCTCCAGTTCCCTGATCTTCCTTATGGCCCTCCTCTGGACTTGTTCCATGTCATTTTTATGTTGAGGACACAACAACTGTACACAATACTCCAAGAGAGATCTCACGAGAGCAGAGTAGATGGGCAGGATCACTTCCTTTGACCTGCTGGTCATGCAAAATGAATGAGTGATGTGAGTGATAAGAATGAGTGATAAGAGTGCTGTGTGCTAAATTTTCATGGATGGATGACATGAAGAAAGTTCCTATGTTGACAGAGGAACTAAAACTTTGCATGAAAATTTAAACTTTCAAATAAAAAAGATACCCCTCTGAGTGTCAAAAATAGACTGGTACATGGAAACAGTCTGATCCAGGAGTTAAAGCTGGAAAGAAATAACATACTGAGATCCACTTTTGTAAGTGGGGGTGACATGAAAATTAGTAATAGAATCATAGAATAGTTTAGATTGGAAGGGACCTGTGAAGATCATCTAGTCCAACCCCCTTGCAATGGGGGATTCCAGTAAATCGTTTTAATAAAAAAGAATAAAAAATCTATTCAGGTTTTACCCCAAGGAATCTGTTTGCCTCCATTTCTCAAATTGTAAGTCTTTCCTTTTACATCTTCAGTAATGCTAGGCAGAAATAGGCAGTATCTCAGGGAAGGAAGGGATGATAAAATGCCATTTTGTAGAATGATCTAGTCCCTCAATCCAAACCCTAAATCTAGTTATGCCATATCTAAAATACTACATAGAAATGACTGCAGGTTAAATGAAGCTCGAAACTACTTCTAACATTACGTCACCAACTACTGTCTGCACTCTTGCTGTAGAGATGAAGCATGTATTTTCTTACTGCTCATTAGAAGCATCTGTTATTAAAAGTCCTGCTCTGACACATCAGGCATAGCTATTTCTTTCCAGAAGTCTTCAGTGTCATACCCTAATCACAAAGGAAAGATTGGGGTAGAGTTCACTGTCAGTAAACCTGTGTGGTTTATTTTATATGGTCAGCCTCTTTCCAAGTACACAGGAAGACACTAACCTAATGAAGACCTTACAGTCTGAAAGACTTTTACTAGTAAACTTATTAAATCGTGAAAGTACTTTCATTTAGACTGAGTTTTAATCATGAGATGAAGTTTTCAGGGAATTACTTCCATTAGGTTGCAGGCCGGTTAGCCTGGCCATAAAGGCAGGACTTCTAGCCTCAGTCAAAATAGGTAGCGTCCTGACTGCATAAATGAAAGATCATCAAAGCTTAATAGGTTTAGTCCTTTCCTTCTAAATCACTGTTATTTGAGGCAGATAGCTGAAACTGATGATAGATTAAAACACTTTATAGTATAATCTTATTTACTAAAAAAGAGTGTGAAAAATCCTTGTTTACATCCCAATCAGAATCAAATATGTGACAGTTTTCCCTTTACAGATACAAGCCCCTTACTAATAAATGCTATAGTTCAATAGCTGCTCTCCAATCTTGGCTTAAAACATTTATAAATATTACTATGATGCTTCCTTAACTCACCCAACTCTTTCAGACAAGAGGTTTTTTCCTAGGAATTCTGGTCAACAGTGATAAGCTGGTTTCATGTCTCAAAAAGGTCTTAATTTCCATCACTTATATACACCAAAGAAAGGAAACACAAAGAGAGGAATAAAGTCTGTTGGCAGTGGAGCCTGCTATACAGGCTACAGGTGAATCCAAGTTTAACCTACACCTTCTGCATAAAATGGAGAGCTGAAGTTGTTACAGGATATACTGAGACATGAAGATAAAATGGCAATCTAGGAAGTTCTTTGCTTCTACTGCTCTATACTGCAAGGTGTAGAGTAATATTTTTAACAACTGCTCTGGTATTTCAGTGTTCTGTAGTGATGTGCGATAGATTCATTCCATTCTCAACAGAAAAGCACCTAGGCAAGAAGAAGATAATTAAAATCGTTATGACTTTTTCCTACAGGAAAGGAACTCAGGAATACTTTAAAGAGAGCATTACAAAAGAAAAGTTTATTGAGCTTTGCCATTAATGTTGTTACCCTTTGTAGCTGAGAAGAAGGTCAGATGAGAATCCTTTATCCTTACAAAATACAATCCCTGCTCAAGGTGCATTTCTCAATCTGTCCTATGAAAACATTCTGTTGGGTTCATTAGATATATACAACTTCAAACAGTCCATGTTATTTTCAGTAATTACTTTGCCAACATCATAATTTTTGATTACCTCCTTAGTTTCTGGAAGTGTAACTTTTAGGCCTTCACAGTGTGTATGAGCCAAGATTTTAAAGGCTTTAATCTTTTTAATGCAATATTGACTGTCAGTGAGCGAGCACCAATGGTAAGACCCATAAATAGCTGAGAATTCTGTAATGACATGAGTACAGCTGCTGAATTTATAGCCACCTAGATTTTAATTCCTGTTCATGTGCTCTGATTGCTTCCTGAAAAGCTTATCTTTTGTATTTCAGGTTCAGAATGAAGTATCTGATTTTATCCTCATATGGGAGTTTATGTCTGTTCTTTTTATCTTTCCATACACCATGAAGAGCTGAAAAAGCAGTGTCATTCTCAATGGAAATTATGAGTCTGGCAAGGCCAAAACAAACAAACCAACAAAAAACAACAACAACAACAAAAAAAAAAAATCGACAAAACAAAACAAACTCCCCAAACAAACAAACAAAAAAAAAAAAAGGAAAAAAAAAAAACCCACCATAAACGGAGAAATAAAACACCCTCCCACATGGAAAAGAAAAAAAAAATCAAAACCAAACAGGGTTTCTGCTACTAGATCTTTTAGTTTTATTTGAAATTTAGGAAAAAGGAAAATTTTTTGTAGGTACAGAGTGGAATTTCATCATAATGAGAGAACAGACATCTTAAGGAGATCCAGAGACAAAAGTTGTCCAAGAGTTATGTGTTGAAAAATGTGTCTGAGATGTCTTTTTGGGTGGACACTGAATGAGACTTGGCAGGTTTTGCTCAGGGTAGATGGTGAATTCTAGAAACTATTTCATGGACCTTGATGTGTTTTTTATTTCAGCTAAATCTGGCAGTCAAACTAAGATTAAATCACCAAATCATATTAGATTTCAAATGAGACAGAAAAGACCAAAAACTATGGGTTTGTTTTATTCAATTTCTAAGAAACTCATACAGGCTTACTTCTCAATTGGCTGAAAGTTTGCAGTATTTTTATCTTAAATTCTCTTTCAGGTATGATCTTTCAAATTTCAACTTTTTTAATGATACCTGTTCTCAAATCTTTCAACTGAATACCTCCTTCTTGTATTTTATTAAAAATAATTATTTGCCTTGTTTTTTTCCAGAAGCATGGAAGCGATCAGTTACACCTTCAGGCTCTCAAATCCCTGAAGATTCAGTAAAAATTGATCCTGAAACTAAACCACAGACCACCAATCAGTCATCTGTTCCTCTACCAGGCAGCATTATTGAGGGAGATATGTATTCAGAGAAGATACAAGACCATCCTTCATGTGTTATTAAAAGTGTTTTGATTGAAGACACATGTGAAGAGGGTAAGCAGTGTCTCCAGTATTCTGAATGAGGGTGTACTTGGCTATTTTCTATAAAAGGCCAGATTGATACACCATTGCTATATTGTATTCTCACTGAAGCAGAACTGCTACAGTCTATATTGCACCATCAGTGATGACACAACTCGAATAATAGATGAATGTGATTGTGGACTAAATGGGAGAGTCCCTGTTATGATTTGACATATAGGTAATAAGCCCTCAACTTCCTCATGTTCAAGATACACCTCCTGACTTTAACCCATTAACACTAAAGCTAGCAATGTTTTAGATCTGTAACTTCTGTGCCTTTTAAAACAAGGTGTGCAACTTACCACGCTGTCTAAACCTGTCAAAGCATACAGTTGCAGTTATTCAGAAATGGCAATGTGGCTGCCTAGTCTGTGCCATATGCTTTGATTCTAGTTGTAAACTGAGAAAGGAGAGATGTGTGCTTTGAGGAGCCTTACATTATAGGGGGATTAAACTGAAAGGTACTGTGGTGGCTTGCATGCCTTTTGAGAGCCAGTCTGACTGATGGCATTGAAAAGACAAATACAGAACTCTTACAGATGTCTTGTCCTTACCATGCCAGAGAGTTCTGCATAAGTTAAATCATAAGAGCGGTGTTAAAAGGCATATTCAGTAGTTTTAGGAGTCATATGCTCTATGAGATGCTAAACTAAAGAAAAGGCATATAGACTGATTTTTATCATTAATGAATTAACTTGTAGGAGTTCCAAATATATTTCCAATAGACTGTAATAAGCTGATGGAGAAGTCTGCAGTCATTTCAGCACATTACATATTAATTCATTTTTTTACTGTAGGAAACTATATCTGTATATTTGCTTTCCAGGGTTTAAGATTAATCTTTATCCTAGATGGAAAGATAAAACCTACACTCTTGGCCTGCAAGCACTGATGCTCTAGAGGCTAATTTTGTTTAAAGTACTTACGTGAAGGGCTTTTTCAGGAACAACTGTCGCTTCAGATAGTTTCCAAGGTGGTGGAAAGAAAGCCAAATATGAACCAAAAGGATATAGACATGAGAGGTCCAGTCCTTTCAGAAGCAGCTCTTCTACATAAAATTTAACATGTATCCTTCATTGACCTAATTCACAGAACAAAAGCTGATATATATGTTTGTAATATACAGTGATGAAAGTAATGAATTCAAAAAAAAGAGTAACTTGATCTAAAGATACTCTTCTTGACACAGATTTTGCAGATGAGAAACAAGTCTGAAGTACAGCATTTGGATTCAATATATCTGTATTTTCAGGATCAGGTGAAACCATTCAAGTCTCAAACAAGTTGTCCTGGGTTCAGTAGTAGCAGTCATGTTTTTCCTTTGTGTTAACTGGTGCAGTGCTGTGTTTTGACTTCTAGCTTGAGAACAGTGTTGGTGAAGCCGATGTTTTCAGTTGTTGCTAAGTGATGTTTACCCTGACCAAGGACTCTGTGAGGCTCATGCTCTGCCAGGGAGGAGGGGAAGCTGTGAGGAAGCAGAGACAGGGCGCCTGACCCAGGCTAGCCGGGGAGGTATTCCATACCACAGCATGTCATGCCCAGGGTGGGGGGGTAACTGGGAGTTACCCGGAAGGACAGGGGCTTCCGGGTGGAACTCGCTTTCTTGGCCGGTGGTATCGTATTCTCTTCCCTTGTTATTTTCCCTTATCATTGTTTTAGCTGATAGTAGCGGTGGTGATTTGTTGCTGGACTGTTCTTGTCTCAACCCGTAGGAGTTGCACTCTCTCGATCCTCCTCCCTGTTCCTCCGGGAGCGGGGAAGGGGAGAGCCCCGGTGCGGGGCGGGGGGGAGACAGACACGGACCTCGATTGTTGTCAGCTCGGCACCACTCACTGGGAGTGAGTGAACAAGTTACCTGACTGGGTTTAAACCACGACAGTTCTTTTTGGCGCCCAACGTGGGGCAACAGTCTTCCAGAGCAGGAGAGACTGTGTGCAGTGTTTACACTCGTGAATAACCTGGGCAATAGTGTCCATTGCTAAGTCCACCCCTCGATCATGAGTCCATCTCTGTGTTGCATCTCTGCTCTGATGGCCTGAAGTGCCATGGGCCCACCAGGCTCAAAATAACTCACTGTCCCCTTAAGCAGTTTCTGCAGCTTGTTGCTGGGGACTCCATACAGCTGCCTTCCATCTCCGACGCTTCCAAAGCACTGGAGGGGCCCAGTGGACTAGATACTTGCCCATACTGTCACACACACCCTGCCACTCCTGGCTGTCCAGCCTTGGGGAGAACCTCTTGGTCCCCCTGCATCGTCGTCTAACCCCAGACAAGACCCAAACCTGACTCTGCTTAACTTTTGAGATCAGACAAAATGGTGGTGGGTAGAACACAGCCTGTGTGTGAGCCAACATGCTGATCCCCATCACAATCAGCAGGCAGGTCCCAAGGATACCCAAAGGCCATTCGAAACCTTCAGAACTCTCAGTTGATGCTGCTGTACTTGTCACTGGGGCTGGTGTAGCCGCTGTGCTTGCCGGCTCTCCCACCGCCAGCTTCTCTTTTCCTGAGTCCAGCTCTTCCTCCTCTGCCTTGCTGGGAAATGCTGCGTGGTCTCCTGCATCCTCCTGGGGCTCGGCAGGCGGCTTCCGGGAAATGCTCTCGGCCGTCGCGGAGCTCGGCTCCTCCGCGGGGCTGGGCTCGGCCACCGGGCTGGGCTCGGCCGCGGGGCTCGGCTCCTCCGCCGCCTTCTTCGTCTGCTCGGCAGCCGCCTCCTTCCGCTCCTCGACCTCCCCGACCTCCTCCACCGGCAGCCGTCCCCTCGCGGCCTCCGGCCCCGCTCCCGCCGCCGCTTGGTCCCCGGGGCCGCTTTCCTGGGCCGGTTCGGCTGCCGCCGGCTCCCGGGGCCGCTCCCCCTCGGCTCCCCGCAGCTTCACGAAGATGGAGAGTAGGGTGAGGGCCAGGACGGTGAAGAGCAGCCGGACGGCCAGGTACAAGTCCACGGCCACGTCCGTCCCGCCCTGCTGCTGGAGCCCGCCCGTATTACAAGCCATTGCCATAAAGCACAGTGAGACAAGAACCTTAGCCCAGGCCCCACACTTGATAAACACTAACACAGCAAATACTGGCTCTAAGTAAGTTACAACATTCTGAAGCTGTGAGATCAACAAGAACAACTCTGAGAGCCAATAAATCAGCATTGTGATGAGTGACTATTAATCTGGTCAGATCTGTCGTTATCTCAACCCCTCGTGCCCCACGTTGGGCGCCAAAAAGAACTGTCGTGGTTTAAACCCAGTCAGGCAACTTGTTCACTCACCCCCCCCCCTTTTTTCCCTCCCCCTACTCCCGGAGGGACCGAGAGGAGAATCGAAAAGAATGCAACTCCCACAGGTTGAGATAAGAACAGTTTAGTAACTAAGGTATAACACGAATCACTACTGCTACCACCAATGATAATAATGATAAAGGAAATAACAAGGGAAGAGAATACAACACCTTAGCACCAACTGACCGATAACTCGCCCCCCAAGCCCGACCAAGCTCCGACCGATACCTCCTCCAACCCTGCAGTCTCCCAGCCCTTCCGGCTAACTCCCAGTTACCTCCTGGGCATGACGTGCTGTGGTATGGAATACCTCTTTGGTCAGTTTTGGTCAGGTGTCCTGTCTCTGCTTCCTCCTGGCTTCCCCTCCTCCCTAGCAGAGCATGAGGCTCACAAAGTCCTTGGCCAAACCAAAACATCTCTATCAGCTCTGTTCCCGAGCTGAAAGTCAAAACACTGCACTGCACCAGCTACCAAGGAGGAGAAACATGACTGCTACTGCTGAACCCAGGACACAAGTATTACTTCCTTCTTACACTCTCTCTATAGTCTCTCAATGACTTTCCAATCTCTCATTCTTTTGTATTCTTTTGTATCCCTTTTACTCATGTAAAACTGTTCTAGTCCCAACAGAGTTAGTGTATACCGCATTTAAATCCAATGAATTAGTGAATTAACAGAATTCAGAGAATTGCAATTATTTTCACCTGATTTTAGCACCTGAATTTTGTTAACAGATGGAGAGGAAAAATCATGGCTGCACAAGCTTGGAATGAATATAAACAAGTGGTCATTTCTCAACTCCCTGGTTGGATGGAGTGAAAACACAGCTCTAGAAAAAGGTATATTTAAGTAGCAAATGTTATTCGTGCTTTCAGGAACACATAATACATTGCATAAATGGGGGAGGTTGTTCTTTTTTTTCCTTTTTATGTGAGCTCTGATTGAATGAACATGTATAGCTTTGATTTATACAGGGCAGCATTCTAAGTAATGAGATCAGTCTCTTTTAACCTTATACACCTGTTAGTTAATTAGGATACTTAGTTTAGGATTATGATACTTAACTTTCCAATAGTAAGTCACCTATTGTGTTAAGCCAGAGAGATCCAATTGGGAGAAAAATGCATTTTTCATTAATAAAAAACAGGATAAAAATAGATTTTAAAATTTTATATCATACTCCAATAACTGGGTCTATCAAATAACTTGTAAAAGGTAGTTTTTAAGGAGATTTTAAAGTGCCAAATTCTTAGCTGTGACGGAAGTTAATTTTCTTAATAGGCAGCATATTTCTGCATGATTTTTTAACCCAAGCTGTTTGGTTTTTTTATTTTAATGACATAAAAATATGGAAGTAATTAACATCAGAGTAGTCATGAACAAATAATTATCAAACCACATAACTATGTGTGATTGTGTTCATAGATCAAAAATGAGAAGTCAGAGTTACTAAAATTTTTCTCCCAAAGGTCCATTTTCTTTGCTATCAGAAAAAAAGATATGTTTAAAAAATATATTTGATTTTTCTAATTAAAAAAGAAGTAATATGTTCATCTGGGGTTGCTGTGCATTTTAATTCTATACTTCCAGCTTATAAAGTAATTTTTGTTTTACAGAAGGTCATCTGAACATATCTGGAGTTTGTTCTGATGCTGATCGCAAAGGAACAGAGCTGCAGGAATGTACAACCAAAGAAGAAGAGCCATATATTCCATATCAGTTAGCTACATTATTTGTCATCAAGGTAAAAAAAACAAATAACACAAAACAAAACACCATTCCCCCCCCAAAAAAAAAAAAACAGAACAAAACCCATCATGAATGAATAATTTACAAGACAAAAACCTTTTAACTGAATCAAGTGCCTCTTATTATAATGAATTGTGATCATAATTTTCAGGTTATAAATTCAATTTATGCACTCATTGCGTAGAAGGTTTCTTTTTCACATTTGGAAACCTGAATTTAAATTTTGAATATTGACATGAAAATCCAAATGTTAAAATGGAAATACCATCTTAAGTTAGGATTGAATAGTAAACTGCTTAAATTTGCCTGTTCCAGGTGGTTGTCTAAAAGTAAAAATCTCACTTGTAACTGAAAATGGAGAAAACCCTTGCCTTCCAATGTATTTCTCATCCTGTTTCTTGATGGTTGGAAGTGGCTTTTCACTTGCAGTGAGAGGTTGTGGTGGTTTAAACCCAGTCAGGCAACTCTTTCCCTCACTCCCCCGCCTCTTCTTTCCCTCCCCCTACTCCCAGAGTTTGTCTATATTATGCAGCATCTGTGTACATATATGTGCATATACATATATATATATATATATATATGAAAAGAGCTGACCGTGGCTTGTTGGTTTCATTGGCTTATTTATTCCTTTAGACATGCTCTTGTACTCTTGTTTCATTATGCATCAGTAAAGTTCTATGGTAACTTCTGTGGTATAGGGTACAGACCCATCAGCTAGCTATAAGTTCAAATAGCTGGAGCAATCTCGTTAAGACACCCAAAAGATCTGTGGGTGATAAGAGGAATAAGCCCATCTGGATCTTTTCGGTCTTCTCTTAGAAGAGGCCTCTTATATCTTAGACTGTGTCTTTAAAATTTCTCTCCAATACCGTTCCTTCATGGGGGTAAATAGGACAGTATATTTCAATACCATGTAGTTGCTTTGCTACATTTGTATAATTTGGACTGTGGCAGTGTCAGACAGAAGATATTTTTTACTTTTTTAGTTCCATGTTAACTGTTTGTAAATACTCACAAAGATCACAGATCAATGCTAACAGCCACAACTTCTTAAAATAATGCATCAGCCACCACAAAAAATATGAGATATTTTTCTTTTTTAATCTGTTTTCAGCTGAGCTCTTTACTGCCAGCAGAATCTGCATCATATTAAGCTTATAAAAAAAAACCCTCAAACCAAGGACATTTATGGAAAGCTTCTAGATTTTTATAGTATACATATAATCATGTTCATTAATGCTGTAATTCATCCTGTAAAGCATCTGTATCTTGCACATTTAAGATGCACAAGTATCAGCATTGTGTAATTTGGCATTGCAGCTACCAGAGAAATATGTTAATAAAAAAAGCAGGCAGCAAAAATTGGATAGGAGATCATAGATTTTTCCTTTTGTGACTATTATGAATTGGATTAATAAAATTAATAAAATGAAGTTATTAAGGATCCTAATAAAATTTTAAGTTTAAATGACTCATTTTCAAACAGGAAAGAGTCACTTTGCCAGTTCTTTAAGTATACATCTGGTTTTATTAGTCATGAAATATGCATGTTGTACACCTTATAGCAAATATGCAGGTTTTCAAATTATTTTAATTGAATACAAAATAAAATAGAGTGTATTCTGTAACCAGTTTTTGTTATCTAACTCTTCAGTGAAAAAATGCAATCTTCACCCCTATCTACCTTTTTTTCAAGAGCTGTAGAATAATTTTAATGTCAGCTTCCATATTCAATTTGGGTCACTACAGTAAAAAGGAAGAGGTGGAGATGCCATATTAGGACCGGAAAAGAAAATCTAGTTCACGTACAGATTTTTATTCAATAACTTAACATACTTTCTAGTTGTTGAACCCTGAAAGCTTTCACCTGCAATCCTGTTGGCTATTTATCTGTTTTCAAGATCAAAGTTCACTATACTGTATGTGTCATTTTGAGAAATGCACCTCAAGCTGTTTGATGGTTCATTATAACTGGAGTTACTAGCACTCTGACTTGATAATTTCTTTCATGCTCTATAGATTGTAAAAGACATGCAGAAAATGAAAAACAAACACATGAAGATAATAAGAGAACTAGACAATATAAGGAAAGAAAACCAGGTAATTATTCTGGAGCATTAATATTGTTGTGTACCACCATTAGTCAAATTGAGAAAGAGATAAAATCTATTTCATTCGCATTTCCATCTGTGTTCATGAATTCATTCCAATCTCTAGAAATAATTACAATATATCTTTAAGTGTAATTGATCTTACAACTTTGTGAAATGTGGTTTTACTTTTTGTCTTGTAGACTTGCAGAGATTTAGTAACTTTATTTTTTGCTAAATTTTTCTTGTAAGTGCCACCTTCCTCTAATGACTGACTCCATAGAACGTTTACATTTGTGTAGGTTGTGCCTTTCAGGAACGGTCTTATTGTGAAGGGCTATGCCAAGTTGCATTGCCTTCCCTCACAGCCGAATTGGAAAGTTTTACAGCCTTCTGCTCTGTGGCTACTTTCTCCTCTACTTTGCAGTTATCTTTGTTTTAGTCTTGAAGTACTTTGTCAATATGTTTTGTGGAATGCTGAGTCCTTCCCATGACCATAACCCCACAGTGTCTCAATTTTCTTAGTGGAAGCATTCTTACATTCCATTAGTCAGTAATTCTCCAAAATACAAAATTTTCCACTTGATTTTTTGCTACACTGTTCTGAAAACTTGCAGCCAATGATTCTTCTTTATGCTTATCTGTCAGATCATTCTCCTTTTCCAATCCAGAGTAAGACAGGAACATATTTTTCCTATGCAGATGTATGTTTTCCACACAATTAAAGTTTATTCTGGGTGCAGAGAAGAGATTCAGTAATTCCTCTGGAAAGTCTAAAAGGTAGTGGACAGACTGTCCACTGTCTTCAGACTGTCAAGCACATCTGAGGAAGTTCCCTACCTATAGTCTACAGATGCTTGGCGTCCTTTGGTAGGGAACAGGAATTTATCTTATTCTCAGGTTATCACATCTGCACAAGCATTGATTACCCGTGTAGGTCCATTTCTGTGCTTCCATAGGAATCTAACCCTCACACAGTCACATTTTACACTTTCAATTGACCCTGTAGATATGGGGATATGTAGATACGGGGATATGTAGATACGATATGGGGAAAAAAAGAGAAACAAGAACACCATTAGAGAGTAAGACAGAGTTGCCTGCTGGGCGCAGATGCAAACACAGGGATGGTACTGATCTTTCTTCAAAGAATTTCTTTCATTTTGGCTGTTGCAATGTATTATTAATTAAAGCATTTGAAAGAAGAAATAATTCCTAGAAGCACTGCAAATATCTGTGCATTTAAAAGATTCTGGTTTGTTTGTATTTCTCCTAAAATTTTCTTGACTTATTTAGATGATTCCTGTTGCTAAGAGCTATTTTTTATGTTACTTCTATTTTATATTAGCAAGCTATTTTTTACTGAGCAAAGTTTAATTTCTTTAAAATTACTTAGCTATGCTCAAAGGGAATTCATTGTTTCCTTTCAGAATGGCTCTGCAGGAAAACAAAAAAGATAAATTATTTTAGCAGTAAAGTTTTGCTCAAAATCTGTAGAGGATGAAAATAAAAACCTCCTGTGATGAATAAGAAATATTTTCAGACAATGAAAAGCATTGAAGAAAGAGAACCAAGCATTACCTGTTGCAGAAACTGTTCTCTTTATCATGGTTGGCTTTCATGTTTTCACTCACTATTTCTTTTCTCAATAATGTTTTGTAATACAGGAGCAGACTATGACAGCTATAAAAAAACATTATAGTGAGAAAATGAGTAGTCTGAAATCCCATTTAAAAGCTTACCTGGAGCTGATGAGCAAGAGCAACAGACACTGGCAAGATACAGCTAAGGTAACCAATTTTTACATGCTGGTAAGAGTGGCAGATGCTTCCAAAGGTTGCATGAACAGGCTGCAAGGTAAGTAATGTTTTCTTCCTAGGGAGAGACAGTCAAATGAAGGCACACAGACTGTGAAAGTAATACAGAACTATGTGTGTCTCTTCTGGAAATGAATAAAACCTTACACAGTATGTTTCTACAGTCTTCATAGCCTGACTTATCTTTGTTCCCCTGATGAAAACTCATTGTTGGGTTCTGCTGTAGTGTCTGTGCTTATGCACTTGCAAACAGCATTATTTTTATGAAAAGAAAGTGTAAAGATATTCACAGAATATATAGGGCATGTAATCCTTTTCTGGTGATGACAATTATTAAGATTTATCCTGTTCCTTCTCCTGTTCTGCTGCCAAAGAAAAGGTTCAGCACATTCATGCCTTTGGGGAGGCTCCTTAGAATCAGACCACTTCTGGTCCCATGCGGTCATTGTAACTTGGTAACTTTTTATTATTTAAATGAAATATCCCTAGGTCTAAGCAGCCTAGTCCTAGTGTTATGGCTTTGGCTTCTCAACATGGGTGGAAAAAAACCCAAACCACAAACTATAGGACTTTTTTGAAAATGGAGCACAAGGTAGAAACTGTAATCCCTTTTGCCTTATTCTACTGCCTTCAGAGCCTGAGGGAAAGAAACAGACAACTGATCCAAAAGAATGAAGATCTTCTTCACCAAATGAGGCAACAAACAGAGAAATGGGAAGAAGAAAAGGTAAACAAAGCTAGTTTGTTTTTTAGTTTTTAGACAGTGCTCTCATCACCATTTCCAGTGTGTGCTGTCTCCAGGAGGCTAAGGGACATGGAAATCACACTGTCTGCCTTCAGATATGTAAATCTAAATCAGCTAAGTTTGAACTGCTATGCATATGCCTTCCCTTTTTTTCAGAGGATGCAAGTTGTTTTTCAGCCTTTAAACATCAGTGAAGATGACATGTATTTTTTTTTTGTCATACTATACTATTCTTTCTGCTAAAAATTTTTAGATTGTAATTTTTCTTTCTCATTTCACATTTTATGTCTTTTGAAGAATCTTAAAATTCCAGTAGGCACATTGATTATTATATTTTTTAGCAATTGTATTAAAAATTAGCAAAAAGCTTTGCCACGTCTACGCTATTACAACACTGAAATGCAAGTAGCAGCAAAACTACCTGATTTGGTAGCCCCTAGGAAAAAAGGATGTACTTAAAATACTTTAAATTTTCCAAATTTCTTTGTAATAATGCAACTTCAGTGTACTAAAGATCTGAGATGGCTACAGAGGTAGAAAAACAAAGTCTTTTTTTTATAGATAGCAGCTAAGAGCATGGTCTGATAATTATTTTCTGCATAGTATCCTATTCCACATCTTTCCTTAATTTTGTAAATCTTCAATATAGCTTTATAACAAGCCAGTTTTCATAGCACTTCTCCAAGACGTGTATTCAGCTAACAGTGTGGTGGTGTTAGGAGTCTCAGAAACAGATTCTGTTCCAGATTTCTGTAGGATTTCTGAGTGAAGATCTGAAGAAAAGCTATTTTTTTCTAATGATGTAATACCACCTTCAGATTAACTTTTGCACAGTGCTTGTATTTAAAAATAAGGTTTTCTCTTTTCAAGCACTTTCAATGTCTACTGCAATATCCTGATCCTGTCTGACAAACTGAGTTTTTCCTAATCTGACCTAATTGTTATATGTCAGGGAAATGTAGCAAAAATATTATAATAAAGTGTATGAAGATACAATGTTTTAAGGCTTGTAGCAATAGGGAATAATTTCTATTACACCAAATAATGCTGGTAAGTTTCAGTGAGACCATTTTCTTCAGGGCTGCCTGAGTACTGTGCTTCCAAAAACTTTTGTTCTTCAACTGTTTCAGGAGTCTTCATAATCTTTGTCTTGTCTTTCACTCCAGTAATAAGGATGAATGCTAAAGAAAATATGAGCATAGGACATCTTGGTACAGGATCTTGTGAAACTACTAGGATTTGAGTAGCCTATAGCTTATTTATTTCTTTTCTAGTAACAGCTAATTACTGCACAACAGCCCGTATGTGTAGGCTATGCTTATAACTGGCAACATTAATTCACTATTACTGATTTTTTTCACCAAGGAAATGTAATGAAAACTAGTAACATTAATTTCCTGCTAGCTTCTTTTGTTGTCTTGCAGGTCTGGATTCTAGAAAATTTGTGTAAAAACAGAGATTACCTTTATACCCAGCACACACTGAGTGAGTTTTTTATTTCAGATATGGGGTTTCTTGATTTCCCTATTTTCTTTCATGTTTGTTTTTTTTTTGTTTACACTGAGGTGCTTATCATCTGAGGTCAATGTAAGCTTTTGCATTGCAGTACTGTATCACAGATGGAATAATACAGGAATGCTGAATTGCCAAAGAATGTCTGCATGACTCCAGACTCATTACCATAACTGGCTTATTACAATAAGCATCTGGTTTCAGTGGGTTTATTTCAGCATTTGCAGCTTTTCCTTTAGAACTTAAAATAAAGAATGACCTCTTTAAAATTCTTTGCGTTTTAAGAAATGAATGTAATTCTTGCTTACTAAAATTTATTAGTTCTTTGGAAATTCTTCATTTCTAAATGGACATAATTTGGCTTGTCTAGACAGCATTCTAGGAACTGCAGGTTAGAAACGCCTAAATTGTTCTTACCTGGTTTTCCTATTATTTTCAATTCAGCTTTGCAGGAACTTCACATCATCAGTCTATACGTGGAAAGAATGTGTAACCTTATGAATTTCCAGATGAAAAACGTTCAGCAAAAGTCTGAAAAGGCAGAAGGAGAGAAAGCAGATGTGTCAGAAGTTTTAGAATTAAAAACAGAACAAGTGAGCACAAAAATGAAAATGTAACTGGTTGTTTCTAAGATTATTGCAGGTATTTCAAAGGCAATCAGGCTGACACTTGCAAAGACTGAAATAAGCCATGGACTAACCGATAGCAAGAACTGTGTGCAAATATATATGTGGCTTGAGAATGATAAATTGGCACAGTAATGAAATCAGTTTTTGCTTTCATGGAACCACTGATAGTACGCTATTGTTCTCATTATAATAATAGTATTAACTTCACTGCAAAATCTGTTAAAGATCTACTTCTTTGAATTATAGAAAATACATTCTAAATGTTGGAACCAAGCAGACCTTTACTGAATGTTTCTTTTGCTTTTCTTCACTTTTGCTCTACCTCGCTCATTAAAATCTTGGCAATTTTGTACAATAATGAAAATCTAGATACTGGCTTGACATGTAAGAGTTGTCTTTGTTGTCCTCAGGTAGCTAATGAAGAAGAAAAGCCTGAATGGTCGATGGAAAAGGGGTATCTTTGGCAAGCATACACCATGCTGGAAAAGATACAGGAATCTTTATGGAAACGAGAGAGAGAAATCACTGAGCTCCTACAAAGTGAAAGAAGATATAACAAGGCAATGAAACCTCAAATCACAGTGCTATTATTCTTGAAAACTCTTGTCAAAAAGGTAAGAATTCAGTTAATGTAACATTGAAAAATTATTTACTGAGTTTTCTAAAAAGTTCAATAAGGAAAAAAGTGCAGGTTTTTATTATTGTTATTGTCTTGAAAAACTGGGAAAAGTTTTTCTGCATACATTGATTTAAAGGCTGCAGATAAGATTTTCAAAATAGTTCATGGAATTAAAGCACCAAAAATACCCATTAAACGCAGCCTAAAGAAATCTGATTAGACTGACATGCATATTCCTTAATCAGCATTGTTTTAAAAGATAAAGTATTGAAGTATGAGAATGTCATCATGGAAATAACATGCTTTTCTACCCTTTCAGTTATGTGAACTACATGAATTACAAACAGCTGTGCCAGCTTTACAGGAAATAAGTTCTAATTTTTGATCCATGGTAGGTTCACACCATATACTGTGATGTCCCAGAGGCAAAACAGTACATCAGTCAGCTTATCAGGAAGAACGAGGATGAAAAGTCTGATCGGAAAGAAGCCTTTAATAATGCTCAGGCTGACATTCTGTCCTATGAAGTATTATATGGAAATGAGCCTACGGATGACAAAAGGTATATTGGATAGTTAATAAAGCAAATATAGAAATAAAACAGAAAAACAGCTGTTTTCACAGAGAGAAAATACATTTTAAAGAGTACATATTTGGGAAAGTGAGTACATTAAAGTAGAGGCTACATTTATCTGAAGAAAGAAATCAGGGAACTCCAAAACACCAGCAAAAAAAAAAAAAAAATCCAGGAAAAAGTTTCAGCCTGTCTTACACAAGTTTTATCCATTGTGTTATAAAATATGCTGAAATAAGCTTACTTGGCAAACCTGTGCTACATCATCAACATCTTTTTTTCCCTACAATTTTACAGGCTGTTTCTTGCTCATATTCTGGGTAATTGCATCTTTCCTTTAGTTTAAGTAACCAGTCCTTTCTTCTTTTCTCTTTTTTTTTTTTTCTGCATGACAGAACACAGCTCTCAATGAAGCTTTTCAGAAACCTTGGGAAAGCAAAGTCTGATTTAGAATGTGTTGAAACAGAGAAAATTGTGTTTGATTCTATCCAAACAGGGGAAATCCCCAACTGGATTAAGAGGGATTGTCTTTATGTAGCCTTGACAGGTGAGAAATCCTCTTGTCAATTCAGAGAACCCTAATTAACCTCAGCCAACTCAGGTTTTAATAAGGGAAAAGAGCACAGCAGTAAAAAGTATTTGTATGCACAATGCTGCCATGCCATAAAGTAGCCTATGAAACATAGAATAATAAAATCATCTAATGATTTGGGTTGGAAGGTACCTTAAAGATCATCTAGTTCCAACCCCACTGCCACAAGCAGGGACACCTTCCACTAGACTAGGTTGCTCAAAGACTCAAAGCCCCAAAGTCCTGTCTAGCCTGGCCTTGAACACTTCCAGGGGTGGGACATCCACAACTTCTCTGGCAATATGTGGAGCCACACTTGTGCTCCAAGCTACGCTTGGTGGTGAAGACCAAGGCAAAATAGTTGTTGAGTAGCTCAACCTTCTTCATGTCCTGAGAAACCAGGTCTTCCATATTCTTCCAGAAAGCCCCTACCCTTTCTTTTATCACCAACATGCCTCTATAGATGCTTTTCTTGTTGCCCTTAATCTCCCTGGCTAGATTTAATTCTACCAGGGCTTTAGCTTCCCTACATCTTTAGTTATGTTCATTTTAGTGAATCACTATAAATTTTAATATTGGGTTACGGCTTGCAAACACATAGTTTCCACACTTATAACCCACTGTTCAGCTTTTCTTTGACATCCGTTGTTTTTTTTTTTTTAAATCAGGTGTCTTTTGTATATTGTGTCTAAATATCTGTCATGGTTTAAGCCCAGCTGGCAACCCAGAACCACGCAGGCACTCAATCACTCCACCCCCCTTTGTCCCTCCACTCCTGGAGGGATGGGGAGAAGAATCAAAAGAATATAACTCCCACAGGCTGAGATAAGAACAGTCCAACAACTAAAGTATAACACAAACCCACTACTACTGCCACCAATAATAATAATAAGGGAAATAACAAGGGAAGAGAATACAACTGCTCACCACCCACTGACCGAGATCCAGCCCGACACGAGCAGTGATCTAGGCCTTCTGGGTAACTGCCCCCAGTTTATATACTGGGCATGATTGTGGTATGGAATACCTCTTTGGCCAGTTTGGGTCAGATGTCCAGTCTCTGCTTCCTCACAGCTTCCCCTCCTCCCTGGCAGAGCATGAGACTTAGAAAGTCCTTGGTCAGAGTAAATATTGCTGAGCAACAACTAAAAACATCAGTGTTATCAGTGTTGTTCCCAGTCAAAAGCTTAGCACTGCACCAGCTACTAAGAAGGAGAAAAATGACTGCTACTGCTTAACCCAGGACAACAACAAAGGTAGAATTCAGAAGGAAGTAACCTCTCTTGAAGAAAACTTAGAATATCCATTGCATGGATTTAACATATGCATTGTATTTAATTGTATCTAACAATGCATTTTGATAGTCCATTTGAGAGGATAGTAAAATCTTTTTTTAAATATTTGGCTTGCTATTTCACTGATTTTGCAGCACAAAAGCTGGTTTGGTGTTGTAGGCAGGGAAAGGAAGTTGGTTGTGAACTTCTGTTGGAGAAAATGACTATTTCTAATTTTCAAGATTTACTGGATTGTGTTTATTATATGTAACTATATAATTACTGGAATTCTTCAGAAGACCCTGCAACATGTTCTGAGGAGACAGAGACACCATTCAGAGGAACTCATGCAGAACTTTGAAATTATAATCAAGGTAATATATTATAGTGTATCATACCACAGGTTTTAAAAGAAGGTATTAAAAAATGCCCTCCTTTTCCTAACTATTCTTAAGGGATATGAGATTTGCTCTGGATTATATCCTGTGATGCCTGTACATGCATTTTTTTTCCGAAGAGCAAATCTCAATGGGAATTGCATGCAGAGATCTGCAGTTATATACCTGTAGCCCCTAAACACATTTACATTAAGGAATAGCATAACTTTGCTAGCTAGTGAATAATATGGTCACACCTTTCTATGTATGACAGATTCACATGTGTTGTTTTTACATCTGTATATCTATTTTACTATTTAGACACAAATCTTTTTACACCCCTTGATGGCATGCCTGTTACAAAGCTACATTAGTATCATAGAACCATTTAGGTTGGAAAAGGTCTTCAGGATCATCGAGTCCAATCTTTAACCTAACACTGCTAAATTCACTACTAAACCATGTCCATAAGCATCACCTGTACAAGTCCTTTAAATACCTCCAGGAATGGTTATTCAACCACTTCTCCAGGCAGCCACTTCCCATGCCTCACCACCTTTTTCGTGAAGAAATTTTTTCTAATATCCAATGTAGGCCTTTCCTGGCACAACTTGACTTTTCCTGTTGTTCTGTAGCTTGTTACTTGGGAGAAGAGACCAAGACCCACCTCACTACAACATCTTTTTCTGGTAATTGTAGAGTGAGAATGTCTCACCTCCTTCTCTACAGGCTAAACAAGCACAGTTTACCCCACTACCACTCACATGACTTGTGCTTGTGAGTGCAAGCACACTTTTCACCAGCTTTATTGCCCCTCTTCAGGTGTACTCCAGCACCATAACATGCCTATACCTCTAATAATTTGGGATGCACAGATTTCCTGTCTAGTAGCAGGTTTCAAATGAATTATCATCTCATTTTCATTTACATCAGAGTAAATAACAGAAATAAATAACTTTGATTTCTTTTTTTTTTTCTACTGAAAGGGACCAAAACACATACTTCAGTGATGCAACAAAACCTGAAATGTAGCAATGCATTTATCATATTGCTGTTGGATCTTAAATTGAATAAACCCAAAATAGCCTGAAATCATTATCTCCCTACTTAACTTTAACACAGCGGCCGTCATGCCAGTCAAGTTAATGTATAAAAAATCTGTATCGATAAATAATGAACCCAAACTGTAAAAATATCTTTGGTGGTAATTATGAATTATAACAAGGGTTGCATTTTTATTTGTTTGGTTTGCTTTTGCTTTTTTAATATTTACCAGAGGACAAAGGAGCAGTAAGAGAGATCCAAACACTGAAACAAGGTCCCAGTTTTAGAGTGGAATATTGGAGAAAGCTGGAAGCAGAAAAGCACTTTCTGTGGTATCTCTGGAGTGTAAAATGAGTTGTAAGAATTAAAAGCCCTTGGCTCACTAAATAGCAGAACATTTATGCAAGCATTTAAGAGTTTTGAAAATTTTATCCCTTTAAGCAAACAAATGAACAAAAAACCACAAATAAAACAAACAAACAAACAATCAAAACTTTTAACTCCATTCTGTCCCACTTCAAAATATTATTCAGTGATTTTTTTGAAGTGCTGGCTCCTGTACCATAATAATATTTTTAACTTCTCAACCTCTTCTTTTTTTCCCACGGTGAAAAAAGAAATTGAAGAAATCATAGATGTGGTAAAAAACTTTAAAATATTAACTTTGAAACCATAGTTCTAGTCAACCAAAGCACAAATGGAAGTCAAGATGACAGTTGTTGTAGACAACCACTTGTTGTCTGTAGCAAATACTGGTTGAAGACAATAATATCAAGTTCCCAGAAAAAAAAGGCACACTGCAAATTAGACAGCAAATATATACTCTTGCGGTAGAGGGTTTTTCAGCTGCCAAAAATAAATACCTGGAGGTATGAGTGGCTTATTTGCACTAGTCAACTGGGACAAGTCACTAATATTACTGCCTGCTAAGCTGGAAGCAAATTCTATTCCAGCACTGACATGACCTAACATTCAGAAGGTAGCATACACAACCTTTACTTTTTATCTGCATGCCTGTTCATTGTGTGCTTCTTCTAGGTTTGCATTACTTATCCAGAAAGAACATTCCTTACCTATAATGGTGCTTTTATACTAACAAATGGATAAGTGTACTGTAAATATGTACTGCTGGGGACACAGTGCCTGTTCCGAACTGCTATTAATGTATTTATAGCCTGTTTCAATTTAGCTGTCAGTCCACTTTTTGAAGAAGAAAGAACATTGGAAAGGAATTCAAGAGAAAAAGAACAAGGACATGTCACTAAAGTGTAGATGCATTATGGTGATGATGCCGAAGAGAAAAACAGTCAGAATGGGTAAAGAAGACCATAACTATGAGTGTTTAGTGATGAAAACATCATTTCAGGACACAGCACTGTTGCCAATGAGTCCAAGCACTAGACAGGACTGTATCACTGCCAGTCCACCACAGGGAGAGTAAAAAATTAAATATTTGTAAAAATTATATACAGACTATGTGTAGGATGTGCACACAGATCACAAATTGATTTTCTGCTGCACTTTAAATTATTATGTATTTGCTGATAATATAATTAAGGGCAGGTTTAAAAACAGCTTTAAAGAATAGAAGTCATGTAACAAGCCAGAGCTCGAAGTCAAAGGAAATTTTTGAACTGTTGTGCAGCTATCCGTCTAGCAGTGTAGACATTCATTTATGGTGTTCAAAACATTAAAGGCTAATTTCTGACACAGTTTAACTCTTCTTACAGTGAACAGAAATCAAGCCTTTGCCTGGTGGCAGAACTGTTAAGATAAATTAACTAAGATATATATAAGATATAACTCCCAGATAAATTTCTGTTACCATACCTAAACTAAAATTCACCTCAGTGGAAATAGTCACCATCTTTCATGGAAATGCATGCCTTCACTTGGATGCTTTTTTGCTGAAACAGGTTTCCTACTGAGCCTCACCCTGGTGCAAGAAAATAAATGGGAATTCCTTTACAGTACTGGCTTCCCTTAATCTTTCATCCAGCTTTTGGTTTTGCAGTTCACATGAAAGTCTTGTACCTTTTCAACAATTAGACAGCACAACGGTAATGCTACCTGGTTCACCAGAAATACAAATGTATGTGATAGATGTCATCTGAAGGTACAGAAATAGCTTCTTTCTTCCTAGAAAAGGCAGCCTCTAAGCTGAAGTTTACTGTTGATGTCTAATTTATTTGAAAATAAAGTAGGTCACTTTTTTTTTTTATTTGGAGGCTGCAGAGAAGTAGTTGCTGGTTAAAGGCCTACTTAAGACCATAGATAATTACCATGCAGTCTAATTTGTGTGGTTATGAGCCCAGTTTTCATATCTACTTTAATATTTCAGTGACCATAAATTTAGATAGTGCATGCGTTTAACAAATTGCCTGTACCCAAGTTTTATTCTGTTCAATTTGCCTAAGAATTAAGGAGAAAGTTGTCCTTGTTTTGCAGTTGCTCAGTTAAGGCTCATCACATGCCCCACATGTTGTTTGCTGTGTGATCAGAAATAAATATGCTGATTTCTTGTTCATTGTAAAAGATTGAGTTAACCAAGTTACCTATTTTTAATAAATAAGATTTTTTTCATCCTGTTAAAATGCAAGTGAGGTTTTAAACTCCTCTGACAGACTGAAAAATATTTTACTGTAAACAGGAATAAAGAGGTTTGAAATCTGCTTTACATTTAATCGCTCATGGAGCCTAGGGTCGTGTGTCTGCATGGTGGTGGAGCACAAACTGTCTCCCTTCCCTCCTTGCCTCTTCAAAGGGTGAGAATTGTCAGGACAGCTGTTTTCACCTATGAAAAATCAGAACAAATTGATTTATGAACAGACAAGTGATGTGATACTGGCTCTGGTGGCAAAGTGCGCTGTGATGTCTGTGGGTCTTGGAAATGGCATAGATCAGCTCTGGATGAAAATGTCAATGAAAAAGGAAGACCACAGAGTATTTTTTCTAAAACTCAACTGTTTCAGGGGAACAAGGTCCTACACCTGGATCGGGGCAATCCCAGGCACAGCTACAGGTTGAGTGGAGAAGTGATTCAGAGAAGCCCTGAGGAGAAGGACTTGAAGGTCTTGGGTGACGGGAAACTGAACATAAGCCGGCTTCAGTGTGCGCTCACAGCCCAGAAGGCCAACGTTATACTGGGCTACGTCAAAAGAAGCGTGACCAACAGGTTGAAGGAGGTGATCCTGCCCCTCTACTCTGCTCTCCTGGGAACCTACTTGGAGTATTGTGTATAATTGTTGTGTCCTCAACATAAGAAAGACATGGAGCTGTTGGAGCAAATCCAGAAGAGGACAAGGAGGATGATCAGGGGACTGGAGTACCTCCTGTATGAAGACAGGCTGAGAAAGTTGGGGCTGTTCAGCCTGGAGAAGAGAAGGCTGCATGGAGACCTCATAGCAGCCTTCCAGTATCTGAAAGGGACCTACAAGGATGCTGGAGAGGGACTCTTCATCAGGGACTGTAGTGATAAGTCAAAGGGCTCAAACTTAAGGGAAGTTGAGGTTAGATGTAAGGAAGTTTTTTATTGTGAGGTGGTGAGGCAGTGGAATGGGTTAATGCTCCGTCCCTTGCAGTGTTCAAATCCAGGTTGGACAGAGCCTTGGGCAACATGGTCTTGTGTGAGATGTCTCTGCCCATAGAAGGTGGGGCTGGAACTAGATGATCTTATGGTGCTTTCCATAACAAACTATTCTATGATTCTATGATTTTAACTTGAAAGCACCCATATTTCCTGTACTGAAGTTATTCTGAATTAAAATGAAGCAGTTTCAGTTGGTGCTGAAACTGGTATTCCTGGGGAAGCTACACTCAGAGTCTAGCAGAAAATATTTCTCTTTGCAGTACCTACTTTTCTCATTTTTCTCCTTTTTACTTTGCTTTTTTCCTGTATTAATTTCTTCACTTTTTTTTAATATATTTTTTTATCTGTGTCTACTAATGATGATTTTTACTCCATTAGCTAATTTTTCAGAAATATGTTCCTTAATGCATAGTAGATGTTTATATCTTTCTATAAGTAATGAATTCTGATAATTGCTGTTTCTTTTTTTTTTCTTTTCTTACAGTGAACTTTTTAATTATAAATAACTGATCAGGGTAAGACTAATATATAAAAATTATTCAGACATATTCTCCATTTAATCATATGACACAAATTTCACACTAAATTCTAGCAACACTGCTAGTTGTTCTTAGTAATGTAAAATCTACATAGCCTAGTCTTCTTTATTTCTGCTTACATGAAAGCATTTTTTCCTATGCTAGACCTTTTTGCTCCTTGTGGGCTGTTCTAAGATGAGTACATCAGTAAATACATATTTTTAAAACAGAAAATGAGATAAATAATTGTTACTCAGCTATGATATGAAATAAATATTGAAATGGTGAATAAATACTGAACATCAAAATATTGAAAATTGAAAATTGCTGTTAAATGAGGAATCGTAGTCCCCTTGTTTCATTCAGCACAGCCAAATCTATTGCTTCCCATTAAATCCAAGTTACAGTAAAAGGAATTTTTTCACAAGCTATGTATCTCAGTAGTGTCATACAATGCTGTATACATACACTGCTATTTCTTTATCTCCTCTCATAATGGTAGCTGTAGATGCAGGAGCATAACTGAAAATTATTATTAGGCATATCAGTTTGCCCAAATGCTGTATTGTATTTTCTTTATTACAAATATAATTCTGAAATGAATGGGAATTTTTTCCTTTCTTTGTGACCATGAGCAGTGATGGTCCTGATGATGCAGACTGGCTACTTTAGTATCCCCAGTCTTAGACTTAATAAACAGAGCAAACAGTTGCATCCAAACATCACATTTGGGGCAAAGCTCAGCTTTGCCTGTGCTAGCAGCACAGTGTGACAGTGGTATAGGCAGTGTGGCCATGGGCAGAACCCAAAGTATAACCTTGATTCCCAGGTGAACAGTATCTAGATAATGGGGCAAACTCAGACGTCTCTGTTACTTCAGCGCAGCCAGGATTACTGCTTCCCAAGAGATTACGGTATGACTGCTCTTGTGGTAATTTTTTTGTTAAGATACTCAAGTCAATATGAGAGGTGCATCTTCCCAGCCTTTAGATTAAATCTGTGCAATGACTTTGAACTGAGCCCATTGGAGCCTTCTGCTCCCACCAATACCTCCTCCGTCCCAGCCTCATTATTTCAGTGTCTCAGATGTTTGTCTTCTCTTTGTTTACCAAGGTCCTGTTGTTGACTCCATTTCGTTTCCACCAGCTGTTTTACTGATTTGTTCCTCCATTTTAGCAACCCTTTGGCAAAACCACATATGCAGCTTTGGCACAATGATTCAGCTTTAACTCACCAAACACAAAATTTAACCCAATAATTTGAAGTTGGCTCCATGCAATTAGCAATTGCCAAGGACCATTTTCTGGTCCTATAAACTGTGACCAGAATGCAAACAAGTCCTTCACATGATGAACAGAACATTCTTTGTGAAACTGCTTGCTTAGGTACTTCAAGAGGTTGCATACCTCAGTTCTACAATTTGCTGGCAATGCCAGGGAAACTAAGAGCCTCTTACTGTGACAACTGCATTTTTTTACTGGCTTTTAGTATCTTTCTGTCCTTTTAAGTATCTTTGATTGCCTCTCCTAGATACACAGCTTTATCGAATGAAGCTACTTTTTTTTTGTTGTATCCTTTCTGCTGTATTCTAATATAATAAAGCCAAACCATTTGACCACATCCGCAGTGGTCATGGGATATGCATTTTGTTCCTCATTTTTCTTCTGTTTGCATGATCTTATTTTACCGAAGTCCAAACACAGGCTACAGGCAAGTTCTAAAAAGGAGGCTTGACAATGTTTTGTGTGATCACCTAAAACCTAAGTTTAGAATTCGGATTATTTTTTGCTTCTGACTGCAATTTATGCTACAGAAAGTGAGCTCCTATGTACTGTGTAAAAATAAACCAGGGAAATATCAGGAGAAAATACAGCATTCTCTATGATGCTACCTTAATCAAATTGTCCTTAAATTATAAAGCCAAATTAGAAGGCAACTAAAAAGGAAAAAGGTCATTTGATACAAAGATTAAAAGCCTATCATTTCACACTGAATCAGAGATTTGCAAAGATACGTATGTGTAAAACATTTGGCCAACATATACTGAAATTAATGTTTTCAGTAAGACTGAAATTATAAAGTATTTAGGTTTCATTTCAAAACAGTCAAAAGAAAAGGTAAGAGATTGCAAACAAAACCTGTTTCTATGGGATTATCTTTGCCCAAATAATATGGCTAAATTCATCATGATGCAGAAAGACAGAACCCTTATATAAGC